CAGCTGTGGAGGGATTTGTGATAGTGGTGAGCAGTACGTTACTCATCCGAGCTTGGAAAATCACAGCCTCACTTGACATCGTGTTGAAAACTTGAAGAATAAGAAGTGTCTTTTGGGTTTTATATCTGTTACTTGTCTGACTCCCACAAGGAAGATCACCCCTGAATGCTTTCTGGCTTGTTTTAACTCTTGCCTTCCAGGCTGGAGTGAGTACCACTGCTCCTTGTGAACTGTTCAAAAACTGAGTGTACCCTGATGGACTCTTCTGTGCTGAATAACCATTGAAATTAGGAAGTGAAAATTGTTCACTTCATTCTGATTCCTTGGCCTTGTTTTTTTTTGTTTATTCCTAAAATTGTTTGATTGTCTTTTTTTGGTTTTGTTTTGCTTTTGTTTTAACCCTTTACTTTTTCACAGTTGATTTGCACTTTTGGTTTTAGTTCTTCAGTGTGTCAACTGGCTCCTTCCCCTGTCAAGTGTGGATAGCTGCCGCCTTTCCGGTTGTGATCTCATCCTTTTTCTCTCCCTCTTCTAGTTCCCTTGTCCCTGTCTCGTACCTTTGTTGTCAGCAGAACAGAGTTGTTAGCAGCAGGTTCTCCAGGTAAATCTGCATGCTTCTATTTTCACCATTCTTGTGACTGCCTTGATGCCATAAAAAGTCAGGTGCAGTCTGTATTTGTCTGACCCCTTTACTCGTTAGGGAGAAGTCCAGCACAGAGTTGTGCCTTGCAGGTAGGTACCCTGAACTTCCATTTGTGGTAACTGGTAGCAACATGATAGAGTCATCAAAATGGGAAGAACTAAAAACATGTTAAATAAAATGTGTTTGTTAATGTGTTCTTGTTTGTCATATATACACTGGTGGAAAATGAGGAGGGGAGATTTTTCAGAAGAATGTAATCTTCCCCAAGCTGAGGCTTAAAAAATTCTGAAGAAAATCCATTTGGCAGAGGAGAATGTCTGGTGCTAAACTGCCATAAGAGGAAAACTTATTTAATGATTGTGTTCTTATGTTCTCATATGGGTAAATTCTATGGTTTGTATACACTCTGGCCGTTTCAATTCCTGAAAAGCTTTGAGCTTTCTCTCAGTGGGCTTAATGCTGTGGACTGGCACAGTGATTTACTGAGTGGATGGATTTGCAATGGAATGTGCAAGAAGGTTGTGGGACCTCCTGTGGGATTTTCTGGTTCCCGTTTTGCTTAAGACCGTTCCATGCTGAATCACTGAGTTGACTGACACAGAAATCCCTTTGGAGAGCAGAAACCAAGGAGGGAACAAGTTGGGCCAAAAAAAGCTCTGAGATGGAAATTGGGAATGGTCAAGAACTGAGCTTTGCAGACACTGTGTGCATGGAGTAGTTGAGAAAAATGGAAACCCATCCAGAAAGTCTGTAGGAAGAGCAGAATCCTAAAATAGTCTGGGCCACAGTGAACATTTTTCTTCCTTTTGAAGTTTTCTTTTTCAGATGAAATGACTTTCCCTAGACCAAAAAGCAAACAAGATAATGATATGCATATTTAAGTGAAACATTTGCTAAACATTCATACATATCATACATTTCATTAACTTTCACCACATGCTTCCTGTATTTTTCCTCTCTTTTTTTAACCTTTGGAAATGTATTTCACCATTGGTCCTTAAATTAGTCTCATGCACATTCCGAACAAACTACAGGTTGTTGCCTTGCAGGGGATTTTTTCTTCCCGCCCTGTGAAAGTTTCCTGCTGCTAAACTTCAAAGAAGGGGGAGAAATTTAATCTTTCTTTAATTAAAGTACCTGATGGCTCTCTTTTAAGCTCGGCAACTTTATCTCTCTTAGCTTGGTTCTTTTGTTTTGCCAGTTCTTCTTTTTTTATTTTTATTTTTCCTCTTCCTTTCTACAAATAAGTGTACACTTTGCACATGCAAGTTTCTTCCAATATAAATGCCAAGCATATTTTCATAGTTTTTTCCCCAGCTAAATAAAAATATTTTTGAAAAATCAATAAGGGAAAATAATAGTGTGAAGAATTTCCTTTGTAAGGAACTGACAGTAAGCCTGGTGACTGTGGCGATGTGGTACCAGTTTTGGTAAAACTCACACATTCTTCCATGCCCCTCTGAAAAGAATCTTGTTGTTTAACACCAAATTCATAACACAGTTGTATTGATGTCCATCCTGTGGCTTGTGCTCTTTATCCCCTGTATAGGAAGGTGAGGAGTTTGGGAAAACCTCTGTAGAAAAGCTGTGTCCAGGCTGTGCTGCTGGGGGCTGGCAGGGCACTGTGCTGCAAACAGGGACCTGCCTGGTGTTCACCTGTCATCTGCTCTTCCTGTACCTTTCTGTGTCCTTCCTTCTTTATTATCTTCTCTTCTCCCTCTCTGATATGAACATGACCTAGAAGTGATGTCCTTTCCCTCAGATTTTTAGGAATACCTTTCTGCCCTGTCCTTTTGCTTCGCCTGTCCCTTTCTGTCTTCTTGTATGTGCTTTGCCATGCTGCTCTGTCCTTCTTTGTTTTTATTATGGCAATGTACTATAGGATCCCTGGTGAAAAGGCAGATACAGGTCACACTAGTGTAAAGTTATTCCAGATGGAAACCTTCATCCCAAGCAACTGTGGTGGTGCTCTTGTCACACACAGCCATATTTTGTGTGTACAGGTGGGAAAAAGGACAAATTCACTCAGCCTTCACATTTCCTTTTTCTCCAGTGGGAATTTCAGCATCAAGCCCTGTGTGCAGGTAGAGCTTGGCTCCTGGCAGCAGTTATTGCAGCCTTCTTCTGGCTTTCAAGTTGGCAGGTTGGCACGGAGGAAAACTTTGCAAGGCTCCGAGTGCTTTCCCCTAAGCCCATACTTGGTGTTGCCATAGGGACCTGCACTAATTCCATAGTGCAGAAACAGTGGAAAAAAGTGCCAAGTTGTCAGAGCCTGTATTTTTTTGGTTCCCATGTCTAAAATTGAAAGAAAGACAACATCAGAGGGAATTAAAGTGGAACATAAAAAAAGAGGGCAATTCTACCATGCATCTAGAAGCATCTAATGTGTTAGCTATAGGAACAGCTGGATGCAGAGATGTGGAACAGGCTGTGTCATTTGGGCAAGGAGATATTCTATTCTAGTGGTAAAGTGGCAAAAGTAGGGTTAAATTTAAGGGAACTTTTTTATTTTAAGAACTAAATTTCTATGTAGAAAAGTCTTCAAAAGAAGCATTTGAAAAGCTTGTAAGGAGACTCATTGATTTGCTCAGAGACTTTGTGTCTCAAGATTATATGAAGATGACCGTTCAGCTTGAGAATGGGGGTCGTGGTAAGTAGCATAGTTCGCATCAAGTTTTAGTTTGGGCTGGCTGAGTGACTTTTAACTGCACTATGATCCAAAAGTTCACTGGTCCCCAGAACAGTTCTTTCATCAGTATGTCCTGTGTGTGCACCCTGGGAGAAGCCCTTGTGCAGGAGGGCTTGGGATCTCTCTGAGGATGTGTTTCTGCCCTCCTGCCTTCTGGGTCACTGCGTGGGTGGAAGCCCAGGATGCAGAATGTCTGTGGTGTCCTGGAAGTGTGCTTGCTTGAGACAGACTGTGTCCAGTCACACTCACAGGGGACAGCTGTGAGGTCTTCAAGTGAAACCCTACAGTGATGGAAAGTGATGTCTGCAGTTTACTCCTTTCCTGGACACAGATTTTTCTCTGTAGCATAGACTGTTTTGTCTGTGTTACTGTCTGGCACGTACCACATGGAGACCTCATTGAGGTCTTGCCCCTTCAGGCACTGGGAGGTACTAGAGGAAATGTTGAAGTCATCATCACATGGACTGCACTCTAGCCCACTGAGGACTCTGTCACTCCTACTGAAAATGTCTGCTCTAGCTCGGGGAACAAGACATATGTAGGTACCAGGTGGAGTAAAAAGGAGTAATTCTTAACTGTGGCTAACTGTGGATGAAAGCTCCTTTATGGAGCAACGATTACAAATTATTAAGGAAAAAAAGATCTCTTAAGCATGGTTTGACTATCAAGGGAGCCTTGGGAAGTTACCTTACTCTGGTGGTTCCTGCTCATCAGCTGAAGTGCTGTGTTCTCAGGGCATGTCTGCTGCAGCATAAACAGCTCTGGACTGAAAACTTACTCTTTTTTCAGGGTATTTTGATTGTTTAGCTGCATGTCTGGTTATGACTGGGTTAAGCATTTACGGTTTATTTGTGCTACACCATGATTTATTATGTCCCTTTGAAACGGGTGAGTTTAAGCATTTGCTACTTGATTTAAGAAATCTCTTGCTCTTGCCTGTTTCTTAGCTGAAAACAAGTCTCCTCCTCGGCCGTGTGGCTTGAATCACTCAGACTCTTTAAACCGAAGTGATCGCATCGATGCAGTGACACCGACGTTAGGGAGCAGCAACAACCAGCTCAACGCATCTTTCCTCCAAGTGTATGTTCCGGACTACTCAGTGAAAGCTCTCACAGACATTCAGTTTGTCAAGGTAGGAAAAAAGTTTGAAAGACCCGCTAGAAAGTTGGGCTTGGCTGGTAGGATGGAGAGCCTGGGGAAGGGAATTGCCTCTAAATTGCTCTGTGAGTAAATAGGATTGTGAAAACAGCTGTTTAAAAATCACTTTAAGCTACTTTTTTCCAGTATCTGCTGTCCATTGATTTGTCTTCACTATTCTTCTTGTTTGGGCTTGTAAGTAGATTGGTCATCTAACTTTTTGGATTTCAGGTCCTTTAAGGAAAAATTATAGAAAATAACCTGTCTGCTTTTAGCCAAACGTGAAAGCTTTTGGAGCCATCTGAAGTGGAGACCCTTCATTATCAGACAGTGTCTGTTTCTAAAGGATGAGACATTTACTGTTGGTTGCAGTTTTTATTCACTTCTGATTTTGGTTTCAGTTTGGGGTTCTTGATCTTACTTTCCGACTTGCCATCCTTCTTCTGCTTGGAGAAGTCTTGGACATTTCTCTTTATCTTAACTTCACATGTGTTAGGCTCATGTCTCATACTACCAGTGAGTTGCTGCATGAATACAGCTCTGTCCCTCAGCATGGTGCATCCCATGCCAAAATGTGTGCGAGTCCTGTGGGATAGGAAATCTAGCTGAGCTGAGGAACAGCTAATGCTGGCAGCAATTCCAGCCCAGCTGGGAGTCCAGGGATCTGACATCCCATGGCCAGAAGTTGACCTTGATGCTTTTCTTAAATTAAGTGCACGTTCACAGTTTCTTTGTATGCAACTCAACTTAGCTCAAAGTTAAGAATGTGGAGTAGGGTAGATGTATAGAATGATAAACTGATTGTTCCATAGCCAGATTTTAAAAGGAGAGTACAGTTCTTGCTGTCAGAACTTGACAGATGCAAGTGTACTGGTCAGTGGTTCGGTCCTTCAAGGATTAGATCTGTAGATGTTTATCACTGGGCAAGTTAGTCTCACTACAGATTTCATTGGCTAATCTATACAGAACAGCTGCTCATCCTATGCTGGTTTATGTGGAGTCCTTCCAAATCTCATTGTGTTCATGCTGAGGCTAATGAATGCTAAACTGGCCTAGTATCTCTACAGTCAAACTTGCACACCTCTTTTTGCATCACTCTGCTTTTCACACATGGATCAGAGTACTCAACATTAGTGTTTTCCCTGAGCCACATGGGCATTTTTTCACCTATTTACCCTGGTAAACCAGGGTTGTGACCTGCTCATGCATGTTTGGATTTTGCTTTCGGAGTTGTGACCTGGTCCATCAGACTCTCTCCATTTCCAGTCCCTCTCTTGTGTCGCCACTGAAACTTAAGGTTTTCCTAAAGTCTTGTTTTGCCTCCACCTTTCTGCCTGCCAAGATAACCCACTGCTGTTGTACATGGGGCTGCCAGTGCACGTGCATCCTGCTGCCTGTCCTGGCCGAGAAGGTTCACCCAGAGGAGTTCACAAGGCTGGTTGCTTGTGGCTCCAGGAGGAATTCTCCCCTCCCCCACCATATGCAGATATACAGAGCTCTAGACTTCCTTCCCTCCAGGGCATCCTGGGCAGTGACACTCTGTGCTCTAGGCCAGCTCCTGTCATGACTGTTCTGCTGAGTGCAGCCAGCTCTTGCAGAGACCACTGGAGGTCTTCATGGGTTGCTAATTTGGACTCATCTCTGTGGGGATCATAGTCTTTTCTGGAATTGAATGTCTTTATATATAAGGCTGTAGCTCCGGCTCTGTTTGCTGGCCTAGACAAGAGCAGTAATGCTTGTACTATAGAGCTGGCTTGGCTCTATAGGACCACTTAGAGCCTCACCAGGAGCTCACTGAAGTTGGGAGAAAGACTTCACTGATCTCTGGTCTTGTTCCTAAAGGTGTGCATGGTCAGAGGGAAATGGAGGTCTGATTTAAAAATCCCTGCATAGGAATGAATCCCTGCCTTTGAACAGCATGGTGATTGCACAGTGCTGTGCTTCCACCCTCCCTGGAAGTGTCACCATGCTGTGGTGCTGAGCTGGGATGCTCTAGGCTTGCAAAGTGCAGGGATATTTGATAGAAACAGGTAAAGGGATTGAAGTGTGATTGTCTGGAAAGGGACGGCACTTCATCTTCTCAGTGTGTCCCGCTGGAGACACAAAAGTGTGACTGACTTTTTTTGTTCCTTCCCTGTTCTTGGAGCAGATCACAAGACAGCAGTACCAAAATGCCCTAATGGCATCCCGGATGGACAAAACACCTCAGTCCTCGGACAGTGAAAACACTAAAATCGAACTGACTCTTACGGAGCTACATGACGGTTTGCCGGACGAGAACGAACAGAACTGTGTGACTCACAACAAGCCCAACCACAGTATGCACAGTGAAGGAGCCATCTAGGAGCTGACTCCCCACAGCCCACCCATCCCATCTCCTCAGCAGGACCAGCCCTCGCTCCTTCCTGCCTCCTCCCCGAGTGTGAACACCGTTAGTATGTGCTTGCGACACTGTGCTGCATCCAGTGTTCTGAGACCAAAGACTTTTGCGTCCATTCTGGGAGCAAAGAGAGGAAGAAACAGGAAGAAAGGAGCAAAGAGCAAGAGAGACTAAAGCCCCAAACGTGATTTGGGAATGGTGAGCCACCCTTGAGAACGGTGAAAATTCTTCTTGCAAAGTAGAATTATGTTTATTTTTTATCTGTATTTTTGATCCTTGTTGGGTTTTTCCTCCTCAGACACATATGGAGAAGTTTAAAAGCTCCTCCAGTTATTTTTTCAAGAGAGATCATGTTTTTAAAAGTATTTTGCAGAGTTTTAAATTGTTTCTGTCCCTCACGAACCTCAAATGGGCTCTGTTGTGGTTTTGTGAATTGGCTCCAATGCCCTTAGGCCTCTTTTCACCCCTCTCTGGTCCTTTTTGTTGCCCCGTTGAAGAAGTTAGTAACTGGTACTTGTATGTTATTTGTGTCCTAAGAATGAGCAAGCTTCAAGGAACCTCTGGTTTCAGCCACCTGGAGGGCCCAGGGATGAGGATTATTACATTCTTCCAGTTAAGTTTCAGGGAAGGAGTGGTTACTTTGGTATTTAATGATCTTTCAAATTTCAGAAGGTTTCTTTGTAAAACGGGCAAAAGCATTGTTATACTTATGGTTTTGTAACCTTCAAAAACTTTGTGTATGTTGAAGGCGATACCGAGGGGAAGGAATGAATCAGCAAAACTGCAGCTGCTGGAATGAAAACGGGCATAATTTTCCATAGTGAAGTAACTGAGTGATTTTTCATTGATGTTCCTGACAATTGCTTGGTGAAGTAATGTGTGTACCCCGGAATGATGAGCCTTGTAGCACTCCCGTGTTACCTTGGCCAGAGCAGGTGTGCAGTCTTTGCTAAATATCAGAACATCAGTCCTTCTCCCCTCTTTAGTCTCTAACGTTGACACAAAAGATGCTGCTACAGTTACACCCAAAGTACATGCTCCAGGTGACAGTAAACCTCTGCCAGTGCAAGGATGGGCTCTGCTGAGGAGTCAGAAACATTCTCTCCTCTCCAAGGACTGGCAAAAGTTTCCAGACGCGAGTGTATTGCACTTCAGGGATTCAGTGAGGTTCATTTCCAGGCTGTTTCCAGCCACATTCCTTCCATTGAGTGGATTTAGTGCATTTCCTTCTCTCTTGCCCCTTTTAACAGCCATTTTAGGGATTACCATGGTAGGAGAGCAGAGAGGCTCCCACCCACCTGTTGCTTGTGCAGGGCACCCTGCCTCAGGCAGCAGAAACCAATTCCTCTACCCCAAAACCTGGATGCAATCTGGGTGCAGGGAAGAGGCACCCCACGGCAGGTCTGCATCGCCCGTTCCCCACTCCCTCAGATGGAGTTTAAGTCCTCAAATGAAAAAAAAAGAGAATTGTCCCCCTGAATCCTGCCCCCGTCCTGTGCTGTCTCAGACAAGATGTGAGCATTGCCCTCGGTACCGGGATTAACCAGTCAGGCATTGCAGCGTCTCTGTTCCAAGACCCTGCCATGGCCCCTGGCTATGTAGCATTTCCCTTCCTTACTTTACACCTAGATAATCTCTTTGGGGATAACTCAAAGAATCCCCCAGCCCCGAATGCAACTGCCAGAGCTCTCTGTGCCTGCATGCCTGCCCCGTCTCTCCTGCTCACGGGCTGGGGAAGGCACTTGCTGCAAGTTCCCACAGTCTGTCTGTGTGAATGGTGGCTGGAAAGGTGCAATATTCTGTTGCATGATCTCCCTGCAGGGAATTGGAGCGTGTGGTGCCAGAGCTGATTGGGTCTGCCTGTGCCCCTCCTCTTCTCTCTTTGGCTTCAGAAAGCAGCCCTTATTTTTGCTGTCCTCCCCAGTGGGACAGGTGCACTTCCTCCTTGGAGCCACTCATGAGGATGAAGTCCCCACAAGGGGGCACAGAAATTGCATGGTATCGAACTTTTGCACCCAATGAGGAGGAAACAGGCCCCACAAAACCCTGCTCTCACATTTAGCTTTTTATTAACTTTACCTGAGTCCCATCTAAAAGTGTTTCCTGGGTCTCCATCCTCGCTCTGATGTGTTCTGGCCCTCCACTGCTGAGAGCACACGGCTCAGTGTCAGCACGGGCATGTTCCCAGAGAGCTGCCAATATTGCACCTTTCTCACGGAGCAAAATGTTGAGATGTTACAGCGTTTGTCCTCAGTGAGGGACTGACCTCGCTGTTTTTTATCTAGTGTTGCTGAATGTAAAAGCTTGTTGGAAGTGTTTGACATGGTGGTGAACTTGAGATGCAGTATCCGTTTTGTCAAACCTGCCGAAGGAGGGGGAGGCTCAAGTCAAGGCAGCTCTCTCTGGGGTGAGGTAGCTCGCTGGATCTGACTTCTGCTTCTTATGGCAGGTTATGGATTTGTTTCAATGTCTGTTTCCATTTTTTAAAAAAGAGAAAAAGTTTTAAAAAAAAGTAAAAAAGGCGCCAATTTTTCCAACCAAAGCCATGTGATCCCAAAGCAAATACCTCCTGCTTCTGCCCACGCTGCACTATTCCAAAATTTGCAGGTGATTTTTTGCATGACTGTTTTTCATCATTTGTACAGATCCAGTAATGGAAAGTGAAATAATTTCACTTGATTTCCATAAAAATAGTTGATTTTAGATGTGTTGCGTATGGAAAATGTGTACCTGACCCAGAGGGGTTAGGAGCTGCTACTACTAATCAGCTTGAAGAACAAAGCATGGTCCTCTTCCTGGAGGGGAAAAAATCCAGTCTCCCTGTTCTCAGGGTATTTACAGTTTTACTGCTGAACAAATGCAAGGGGTTCCCAGCCCTCTTGGTGGGAACCATCCCAAGCAGAGGGACCCAGCGCCCTGCTCAGGATCACTTCTGAGCCTCCGGATGGCGTGTGCTGGGGCTTGGCACTGCCTGCAGTGGAGATGCCTTGGCATCCGAGTCTGTGCCCTTGCAGGGGGTGTCCTGCCCCAGCAGCTCTGCTCTCTCTGCCTCGCTGGCTCCCCCTGCCCTCGGGTGTGCTCTGGTGCTGTGCCGCGGTGCCGTGAGGACGCGTGGCCGGTCACCGCCGCGGCGCAGGGCACCAGCTGGTGGCTTTGGGAATCGTTGGACTTGACCTCAGACCTTGGCCAGGCTTTGACTTGTAGAAAGGATACTGCATCTTCCTATGTCAACTCCTGCTGCCGCCTCTGTTCCCCTCGTGCATCTGCCTCCGGACGCAGCCGCGGGGCGGACGATGGCCTGTTGGCCGGGGGAGGCTGGGAGGGCATCTAGCCATGGTTTCTACTGTCAATACAATTTTGCACAAGAGTTCTTTGAAGTGAGGTTTTCAACACTAATATCTTAAATGCACAACTGTGAATTATAACTTTTACACTCCTGTTGGTTGAATTTCCTTTAAACGAAATGAACCTGAATCTGTTGTAACTATGATTTATTTTTTTTTAAATTCTGTGTATTGCCAAATCTTTGTAAAGAGTGAAGGAATGTTCTTGCTTTCCAGTGAGAATCTTTCTCCAAACGAGATTGACTCTGGTGATGTGGAGATCATACGAAGCACACTAGTTCTGAGAGGAGAGGGGCTCAGGGTGGGCTTAGCAAACCAGCCCCTGCTGCTCTGTGACCACAAGCTCAGACCCTCTAGAGTTTACAAAGTGCTTGTTGTTTTATTCCCAGCTTGTCCACTCCCTGAAATCCCTGTGCAGCTGAAGGCTGCTGCCCTGGAGGAGATTGGATGGGTTATCCCACAGCGGGATGAGGGATGCTGGCAGGGTGTCTGGGCTGGCTGGCAGGAAGGGGCCCAGGGTTGGTGTGGCAGGACAAGATGCTTCCCCCATCCAGATGCACAGGGCAGGTCTTTCTACTGCTCACCACTTTTGCTCCAAACCTGTGGTCATGAGTAGTTCGTTGTTATGCTCTTTTTGCCCTCACAAGCTCTTGCTCTGGACTGAGCAGAGATGGGATGATGCTGAGAGCTGTGCAGGGCAGCTGGAGCTGGAGCTTGGCTGCTCAGGGCATGCAGTTCTCGGGCCCCATTGGAAGAGGGGTCAGCCACTCATTCACACTGTGCTTGCTGTTCTGTTCCTCCTCTCTTCTCCTGGACTTACTCCCTTTTTCCTTACTGCAGGGTTTGTTTGTTCGTTTGTTTTCTTTAAGTGCCTTTTTTGTGGGTGAAGCTGACAAGAGTAGGAGTCTCAGGATATGGCCCTTTGCACTCACCTCAGACATGGATGAAGCTCAGGGGGAGCAGGGCGAGTTGCCTCGACAGCCCACGGACATCACTGCTTCTCAGCCTTCAGGGCACAGCTCAGATGAGGATGAGATTTGGCACTGGTGGTGTCAGGCTCTGACTCAAATCAGCTCAAAGAAAACCAAAGAGGTAGCTGTGTGAGGGCTGCCTAGGCAGCAGTGGTGCTTCCTGTGATCTCTGCAGCGCTCAGCCGAGGGGCATGGGGGTGTGGATGGCAAAGAGCAGCCCTGTCTCCTCATGAGCATCCTATGTAAGTATCCTATATCATGGAGAACACAGCCACATTCTCCAGGACCCTTTGGAACATGCATCTTCCTTGTGCAGAATTACACTTTCTCTAGAAATCACTCTCACATGAAAGATGTACCATATTTTCTATGATATCTAATACACACGTCTGTGGTTTTAAAACTAGTACCTGTGTACCAGTTGTCACGTTATCCAGTGTCTGGATTGCCAGTAGAAAACTGGGGCTGGGGGTGGAGAAGGGTGCTGGAGAGTACCTTTTGTCGTGATGCTAACTTGAGGCTTCGTCCCAAAGGTCCACCCAGCATTGAGAGATCCCTTCATTTGTCTTGTGTGCAAGGCAGGAAACCAGCAGGTGGTGAAAGGCTGGTGTGGTATGGATCTGGGCATGCTGCCTGCCCCACGGCCTGGCTCTGCACTGGGGCTCCACATAGACCCAAAGAAGTACCTGGCCCTTGGATACTGAGGGTTGTTTTGGCCCAAGAGTGAAATGATGAGCTTAACTAACATGATCAACAGCTGCGCATCTTGTCATGGCTTGGAGGGGGGACTCACTTGGCCAGCAGAGGGGACAGGCTCTGCACTGCAGGCTGGGCTGGGAAGCCTCTCTCATCCCTGCTCTGCTGTTATACTTGGTCTGTCAGCTGCAGGTATCTTGTTGGTGTGATCTCTGTGGTGATACTGGCCTCAGTCCTGTGTGTGGGCAGCACAGGGGACTTTGGCATCCATGGCTTCCTGCAGAGCCCCTGCACAGTCCTGCTCTGTGTCGTGTCCTGGAGCCTGGCTTCATGCTGGGTTGTGTGCTGTGGTTGGTCTCGTGGCTGTTCCTTGAGGCTGTGTCCAGGCAAG